GGATTTTTTTTTTTGTCACCTTCAAATTTAGTAAAGTACATTTCTTAGAGTAAAGATAGAACATGAGTTTGTAAAGCACAATGTAATTCCTCCTGACTCAGCCGAGGTTTGGATGATTTTCTTCTCTAAACATTTCACTCTGCAGTTCCTGGCACCAGCTCCCACCTTCCTGTGATGACAGACAGGCCTTCCAGTAGGCCCCCGCCCAGAGTACTTTGTAGCCCTCTCCCCCAAGGCCAAGATCGTGGCCAGGGGGAATGGGCATGAGGAGCCAGTGGGGAGAGGTTTGTATGGGATTCCAAAAGTCCTTTTTTTGGCCTCAGGTCATACTTTCCAAAAAGGTGAACATCTAATTCCCATGATTCTTCTCCCATCGTGTAAAAATTGCCCAAATTACATGCGATGGTGGAGGAGTTAAGAGTTAGTTCTGTGTATTTTTTGTTTATTTAAATTCAATTAATTAATATAAAATGTATTATTGGTTTCAGAGGTGGAGGTCAGTGATTCATCAGTCTTATATAATACCCAGTGCTCATTACATAATTCTGTGTATTTCCGATGAACATTTCTCAGCCTTCACAAGACACCTGTCAGGGGGCTCCTGGGGGACTCAGTTGGTTCAGTGTCCGACTCTTGGTTTCCGCTCTGGTCATGATCTCAGGGTTCTGGGATCAAGCCCTGTATGTTGGGCTGTGCTCAGTGGGGAGTCTGCTTGTCCCTCTCCCTCTGCCCCCCCATTTGTGCTCTCTCTCTCAAATGCATAAATAAAATCTTTAAAAAAAAAAGACAACTGTCAGGTACTGTTTCCTTGAGATGCTCTGAAATATAGATGTGACGAGGCACCCCTCAAACTCCAAGACTTGACAGTAAACTTATCCTTGCGAGTTCAGTTAGTGAAATCCATACTGACCACATTTGTTACCTGAAGAAATAATGCAAGAGATAATCAAAATACCTGAATGAAGAGTTCTAGAATCCTCTACCCATTGGCAAGGTTGTATGGGTCCGCTCCCAGATACCTGCACCAGAATCCAGGGATAAATATGAAATCCATCAATTCCCTGTCGGTGTGGGGCTGTTTCACCAAAGCGCCAAGTTAGAAGGAGCAAGGAAAAGGGAAGTCCAGGGAAAGATTCCATCTCCACCACGGTCCCCAGGACAGAAGGGCTGAGTTGGACAGAGCCCTGGTCCTGAGATACAAGGGGAGAACGTAGACAGAGTAGCGGAGTAGGCAGCCTCTGTCATCTTCCAACTGACCTTTGGGCGTCACCAGAGAGGGGACCTAAGACTCACCTGGTCCCTGGAAGAGTACGTGCGTGTGCACACACACACACGTTATCAGCATGGTGGGCTACACATTGGACTTTAGTGAGTTTGTTTGGTGTAAGTCAGGATTCACATGGGATAGTCTGCTAACACACATTTTTCTAGAAGCAGCCCCTCGCCAAGCCCACAGCTGTAATGGGAGTTGTCATGTTCATATGATGCGATCAACCTTTGGCCACGGTTTATTGAATAAGAGCTGGCCTCCGGATCCAAATGGAATGAATGTGTACCTTTCCTCAGAACTTTGGATGTGAGTCTGAGAAAGAACGCTGGCTTTCTCTGCAGGGGTTGGGCTACAGCTTGTACACACAGTGGCTGGGACCTGGTCAGAGAGAGAGCTGATGTGCAGTGAGGGGAAGGTGCCGGTTCACAGGGACAGGTAGAGGTGTGAGAAGGAAGGGATGCTCACTCCTGGGCCTTAGAGCCCTGGGGCCCCAAGCTCCAGTGCACCCTACCCTTGGAGCCGGTGAAGGGGCCCAGGCGCATTCTCATACATTCCCTCTCTTTGGGTCTGAACAGTCAGAGTTTTGCTGCATGCATCCAACACAAACTGGCCTAAGTATCCCGAGGGGGCCCACAGCCCCACCTGGGAAACCCTGACCCCAGAGAGCTCATCTGCCCTGCTCAAGAGGACACCACTGCCTAGGTGCAGCACGATTGGGTCTCCGTGCAGAGCCAGGAATGAGCAAAACCCTCACCTGGACACGCAGCACAGGGTGGGGGCTTGACCACTGGGTGGCAGGCTTGCTCAAATCCAAAGGATAAGGACAAATGATGCAAAGGACAGAGGAGAGAGGGACATCTGCTGAGCCGCAGGGTTTTTTTTTTAAGATTTTACGTATTTATTAGAGAGAGAGAGAGAGCGAGAGCGAGAGCATGAGCAGGGGCAGAGGGAGAGGGAGAAAAGCAGAGTCCCCGCCGAGCAGGGAGCCCGATGCAGGACTCGATCCCAGGACTCTGGGGTCATGACCTGAGCTGCAGGCAGATGCTTAACCGACTGAGCCACCCAGGCGCCCCATCCCTGCTGAGCCTCAAATTGTGCGGATTCTCAGGATTCATCTTCTCACTCTTCCTGCTTTACTCAGAGAGCCCATTGTACAGATGCTAAGGTAGAAGACTGGAGGTTAGTCAGTTGTGCTCACATGTCAGTCCTCAGCCAGGGTGCTGGGCAAAAGCAGGTGCTCGGTGTGCACTTGGCGGCTGGATAGTGTCTGAGCGAGGTCTCCCTCAGCCTCTTACCTCTTTTGTGCCCTATTGTGGTGGCCTGGCTCTGGCAGATGCCACAGTGCACAGGGCAGGAAAGAAAGGGGAGAGGGACTGTGGCCCTGTGACTCTCTCTCTCATTCTCTCTCTCTCAAATAAATAAATAAAATCTTTAAAAAAAAAGGGGGGGAGAGGAAGACGGGGGGTGGGGGGAGGAAGGTGAATGACCCAGAGTGACCAGAGATGGACATGGGGAGAGCAGGCGCAGCACAAGTCCGGCATTTGGGAAACCGGCATTAGTGCTTGGGCCTGACCTCTGGGCCTTTCCAAGGTGCCACAAAGGACAAAGCTAACACATGCGAGGCGCAGTCGAATTTTACCGAGTTACCATGACAACAGGAGGAGTAAGCAGAGAGAAACTCCCCCAAATTAGCACTCCCTGTTTCAGACAATTTTAAGGTTTCCTTTGCCTTCTGTATATACAAAGGCAAACACACGCAGCTGTGCACTGCGTCATGCTGACGTCTCGGGAATAACCCGTGTCGCTCACGATGCCAGAGCAAAGAAGGAGCTGGGAGTTGTTCATTTAATCTTTCAGCAGATGAGGCCTGTGGTGCTTTTCCAACAGTGTATCTGCCCTGGGACACTGGTGGAGATGCTGGCAGCCCTCTGCTCCGGCTCATGTTTCTCCATGGCTTCGAAGGGACCAAAGCAGAGCACTGTCACCCGTTGAAGTGGGAGCTTGGAGTTCGCAGGCCTGCGGACCGGCTTCGGCAGTGAAGGTTTCAGGAAACCCTGACTAGGGTTCACGTGTACACAATCACCCTTTCAGAGGATCTGGCATTCCCTCAGGGAATTCAGAGATGGCCTGTGCCAAAGGGGAGAAGCGAGGTCTCTGCCGATCACCACAGGGCCAGAGGGCCAGCGCTGGGACCGCCCGCACCCCTACCGGTCCCCTCACCAGCAGCCTCACCTCCAGGCACGGGGTGCGTGTGCCTGTGACCGAGGAGCCCCCAGCAGCCGACCTAGACCTGAGGGACAGCCTGGGCTGGTGCAGGAAGCCGAACACACAGGGCCTATGTCGCAGCCAGCGGGCCACCGCATGCAAGCCATTGTTTCTGGGTATTCCTAGAAGAGACTGGCATGTGATTTGGTAGACCGAGGCGAGACTGTCTACCATCAGCAACGTGGAGGCATCACCAATGCAACCCGCTGATGGCCCCAGGAGAATGCAAAGGCAGAGGAAGGATGACTCCCTCTCTCTCTGCTTGAGTGGGGAGGTCCATCTTTTCTTGCCAGAGCACCTGTTTCTCAGACCATCGGACACCACTGGCTTTCCTGGGTCTCCAGCTTGCAGACGGAGATCATGGGACATCGCACACTCCAGTCCCCTGAGCCAATCCCTAAAACAAACCTCCTCAGATCTGTCTCTACCCTATTGGTTGTTTCTCTGGAGAAGCTGACTGAGGCCGGAATCGAAGGCCCACTCCTGCAAACTGCTTTCCAGACTCAGTCTTCCTAGCACGAAGCCACTACTGTGCAGTCCCAGCAGGCGGCCTTTCTTAACCAGTGTTTTTACCTCAACTGTGCCACCCAAGCTTCAGAAGCAGCAGAGCCTGGCCGTCACCCTACCTCTGGCTGCCCCCAGGGCCTTCTTCAGGGAGAGGCGGCAGCCCAGCTTGGCGGCTCTGAGGACAGCCTGTCTCTCACTGGCCACCCTCCCCAGTAACTACTCCCGCCCAGAAGCGTGAGAAGGACCCTTCTGTCTGCCTTGCTGCTGGACTCGATGCCACCACATTCTGCCCTCCGTGACAAGAAGCACCTTTATTTTATTTTCTTTACCATTGTTTTTTTTTTAGTAGGCTCCACGCCCGGCATGGAGCCCCATGTGGGACTTGAACTCACGACCCTGAGATCAAGACCCAAGCTGAGATCAAGAGTCGGACGCTCAACTGACTGAACCACCCAGGTGCCCCATGAAGCACCTTTAAATAGCAAGTGCAGGGAACCCCTCTGCCAGGTGGCTTCTCGGCTGCCCTGGTTCCCATGTGCACTCTCGAAGGCAGGGAGGGTCTCGTCATAGAATGAAGGGACTGGGGCAAGGGACATGTGAACGTGGCATCTGGGGCAGGGGGCTCAAGCTCCATCCTCTTATCACGACCACAACAACCTGGGAGCAGACCAGAACCTTGTGGGGTAATGTAGCCCCCTCGGGTACCTGGCTGGTCTGAGCACAGACCCTCCCACCACGGAAGCAGACGGCCTCCCCTTGCCTCAGGGTGGGCTCCACCTGCCCAAGGATGGGGGCTTCAGGTACCAGGTGGGAAGAGGTTTCTAAACTCCTTGCAGAAAAAAGACAAAGGAAACATCCCCATCTTGAAATGACTGCATCACACTGGTGATTCAAGTGTCTTCCTTTTCCTTCTACAAACTTTTGCAAAGTCCAGTAAATTGTCTCATAGTAAAAAGAATACTTTTAGGGAAATGCATTTATTGGCAAAATGCTACGACCTATGCTTATGTCAACTGGTGGTACAGACAGGGAGGAGGGGGCTGTGTGCCAGGTGGAGGACCTAGAAAGTTGGGCCCGGAATGGCGCAGGACTAAGTCCACGGGGATGTCCCAGCAAAGGACAGATTCCAGGGCAGGTGGGGGACAACCGGTCCATGTCACCAACGGCTGAGAGGGATGGGTGTCCCCCGGCCAGGGGATCCCATCTGTAGCCCAACACCCTGGCGAGGAGATCCAGGACCCCATGCCTGGGCTGGGAGGGATCAAACCTGCTTCTCTAGCCTCCCTGGTCTGGCTTCCCCTTGTGGAGTAAGATCCCCAAGTGGAAGAGCCAGGAAGGGAAGACAGGGAGCCTGAGATGCCCCGGTTTCTGCAGCCAAGCAGTGGAGCCACCTCAGGGCACCCAGGGGACACAGGCAGGAGGACAAAGGCCTCCCAGGCCGGGGCAAGGCAGGGCAGACAGGGGGGACAGCCACAGACCTCAGGTCAACTCCCAAGGGAGCTCCAGAATGTCACACTCCCCCTGGCAGACATCCAGGTGAGCAGATGGCCTCACTGCCAGGTCACTCCCACCTGAGCACGGGAGATGGGGCCATGGGGAGGGAATGTGGACACAGCACAATTCCCAGAGGAGGGGCCAGTCTCTGATTTAGATGCTGCAGAGACTGTCCAGTTTGGTGGTGGGAGGAGCACTGCAGGAGGAGTCCCAGGGGGACTGTGGACCAGCTTCCCTTCAGAACGGCTCCTTTGCTTCAGCCATCCTGTGCCTGTCAGAAACTCCAGCAGATGCCAAGGTCACAGGGGAAGGCTGAGGGGCACCAGCTTCTGCCTCCTGTACATCTCCTGGGCAGCAGCCCTGAGTGGCCAATCTAGGGTAGGAAGAATGCTGCAGGTCCACATCAGTGCCCATAGAGGGCAGCAGGCAGCCGGGCCTTGTGCATCTCCAGGGGCTGGGCACCATCAGCCCCTTCCGCAATCTCCTAGAGCTCCCCAAGATGAGTGTTCCTCATCCCAGTGACTGGGGGGCCAGCCTGGGACCCACACCCTCCCGCTGCCTATATCCCATGGGCACTGAGACATGTCAGCCTGCAACCAAACCACAGAGGGCATCAGAAGAGGGGCTTCTCGGCATCACTGTGTCCACCAACAAACCCACCTGCTGCAGGGAAACCTGCTCCCACCACAGCTTCATGGTGTGACCATATGCTGTGAGCTCCTGGTGTGTCCCTCCACCATACCCACCCCTCAGAGACAGGATGGGAGCCAGCCATGGCCCTAGAGTGTTTCCGCCACCGGCCCGCAATAGGGACCCAAGAGGTTTGGGGGACAGAGGAGCTCAGAGGCCCAACACCTCCTCCGCCTTCTTCAGAGGAATCTCCTGCTCAGAGAAGTAGGGTGTGCAGGCCTCACAGGCCGGCCCCAGCACCAGGATTAGTGGGAGAGAAGTGGAAGGCAGAGAGCAATGGTACCCTCGCCCTACCCCCACGGGCCCAGCAGGCCCTCAGGCCTCCAGAGAGGGCACCAGTGGAGCGCCCAAAGAGAGGGGTTCCCATCTGCTGCGGGTCCTGATTTACAGGGAGGCCCTGAGGTCTGTGGGGCAACTACATTGGGCTGGGCCCCCTCCCAGCACCACCCATGTGCTCAAGAAGACTCCTCCTCAGCCCTGCCCTACGTATGGTTTGGTTTGTTGGGGTAGTCAAAACCCAAAAGTGCCCAAAACATGTTTAAACACCCAAGGGATTCAGGGGAGACACATCAGGGCCCAAAACAGTGAACATCAGCCCCCTGGATGGGGGTTTCAGGAAGGGGCCCAAGGACAGAGGTGACCCCCAGAAGGTGAGAGCGGCACATCACCTAGAGCTTCGCAGAGAAGGATGTGAAATCATCCAGCAACTTGATGTCATTGGGGAATGTCAGCCATGCCCCGCCGTCAACCACCAGCACGGCCCCTGTCACGTAGGACGCCAAAGAGCTGGCCAGGTACAGTGCGCTGTGGGCGACCTCTGTCTTGTTGCCCAGCCTCTGGAGGGGGATGGCCAGAGTCTTAGTGCCAGCCCTGGCCTGGGGGCCACCTGGAAGGGCAGAAGGAGGCTCAGCCCCATGAGCCCTAGGACAAGGGCCCTCCACTCCCCTCTGCCCAGCTCTCCCTAAACCACGTCCAGGAGCCCTGGGGGCACTGTGGGCACCATCCCAGCAGGGCAGGAACAGCAAGGTATGGCCACGGCCACAGAGCCAATACAGGGCTCTGACATGCACCCTGTCAAGGTTCTGGAGGTGCTAATGGGTGCCCCCTTTGTGTCTGGCTCATGTGTCAAGGCCGGCAGCTCTGTGGCCTCTACCTCCAAGGAGCACCTGTCCACGTCTGGCCAACCATTGGTCTATCACAGCTGTGCTCCCCAAGAACGGCCAAGACTTGGCTTGGAGACAGCCTCTTTGCCAGCCCTGGGAGCCATGAGGAAGTGGCCCTTCTCCTGGGCCTGTCCCAGCCAGGTGGGAGAGGATCCCATGGAGGCACTGTGGGGCACGGGGCTCCCCAAGGGGCTTACCCAGCCGCCGGAACCCTTCTGTGCCACTGATGGGGCCAGGGGCGAGGCTGTTGACACGGATGTTCTGGGGACCCCACTCCACAGCCAAGTGCCGTGTCATTGCATCTGCAGAGAAGGCAAGCAGGCATGAGGGGGGGATGCAGGGCTACTCTGCTTTCTGGGGTGGCTCAGGTATGAGTCGGGGCTCAGGGCCAGGCCTCTCCACTGCCCACCACTGGGCTTAACTTCACTAGGACACTGCTGGCTTCCACGGACAGGCAGGAGAGGGACCTAAAGGGAGCCCAGGCAGGCAGACCAGATAGGGGTGCCCGTACCCACAGCTGCTTTGGCAGAGCCTGCATGCACTTGAAGCACCTGCCCCCGGGTACCCAGGGTCGCAGTGATGTTCACGATCACCCCTCCATGGTCCTGTAACACATGGGGGAGTGCAGTGAGTGGGTGTCCAGAGGAGACGTCTCCCAGGTAGAAAGAACACTCACCCTGAAGAACTTTTCATAAAGCACACGAGATGTGTTGAAGGTGCCCAAGGTGTCGATGTCCATCACGGTCTTAAAAGCATTGAAGGACAATGCGCTGGCAGGGCACAGGAAGTTTCCAGCTGCACCTGCAGGGTGTAAGAAGACAGTGGCTGGTGCTGGAGCCCCAGGCACTTAGGACACATGGACCCTCAGGGTGGTCCAGGCTGGACAGGAAAGGGGCCCAAGCACTTGGGTAAATGCTTGAATGATAGGGCAGGATGGATATCATGGGTTGAATTATGTCCCTCAAAAACATATGCTGAAGGGGCGCCTGGGTGGCTTAGTCGGTTAAGCATCTGACTCTTGATTTCAGCTCAGATCATGGTCTCAGGGTTGTGAGACTGAGGCCCGGGTTGGGCTCTGCACTGAGCATGGAGCCTTCCTAACATTCTTTCTCCTCCCCACATCTAAAATAATAATAATAATAATAATAATAATAATAATAAGGGTGAAGAGTCTGCTTCTCCCTATCCCTCAGCTCCTCCCCCTGCTCATGCTCTCTCTCTCCCTCAAATAAATAAATAAAATCTTCAAATAATAGTAATAATTTAAAAAGACATGCTAAAGTCCTAATCCCCGGTACCTGTGAATGTGACCTTATTTGGAAATAGGATCTTTGCGGATACAGTCGAATTAAGATGAGGTCACCCGGGATTAGGGGGGCCTAAATCCAAGGACTGGTGTCCTCCTAAGAAAAGGAGAAAAGACACAGAGACATATGGTGGAGGCCATGCAGAGAGGCAGGCAGAGACTGGAGTGATCCCGCCCCAAGCCAAGGAGCACCAAGGATTGCCAGCAACACAAAAAGCTGAGAGAAAGGCCCAGAACAGATCCTCCCCTGGACCCTTGGGAGGGTGACCCCACTTTGGTTTGGGATTTGTGACCTCCACAAGTATGAGAGAACATATTTCTATTGTTTTAAGCTACTCAGCTCGTGGTACCTTGTTAGCTGCAAGAAATCAATACAGCCTGTGTTTTTAAAAGGGAATTTCAGCAAAGAGTGAACCTTGATGTAAACCGCAGACTAAGGTTAACAGCATGGACCATACTGGTTCATCAACTCCTACAAATGCAAGCTGTCCACACCAGGGGGCACTGTGTGTGGGGATACAAGGAATTCTAGGTACTGGCAGCTCGATTACTCTGTAAATCTAAAACTCTACTAAAAAAATTAAGTCTAGGGGTGCCTGGGTGGCTCAGTCGTTGGGCGTCTGCCTTCAGCTCAGGTCATGATCCCAGGATCCTGGGATTGAGCCTCGCATCAGGCTCCCTGTTCAGCGGGAAGCCTGCTTCTCCCTCTCCTACTCCCCTGCTTGTGTTCCTGCTGTCGCTCTCTCTCTCTCTGTCAAATAAATAAATAAAATCTTAAAAAAAAAAAATTAAGTCCCCCTTTCTTTTTTAAGAGGAGAATTTGGGGACATTAGAGTACCCTGACTCTGTGAGTAGGTGGAGTTCCCAGGATGTCCACTTGAACCATGACTGCACTGACCCAGACAGAGCCTGGGGCCCAGGATGGGAGTTCTGAGGCTGATCCATCAGAAGCCCCCGGGCCTCATCCATCAGACACTCACAGTTAACAAGAATGTCGATTTTCCCAAACTCCTTCAGTGCCTGGTCCACGGCAGCTGCGACAGCTGGGAGGGCCCGAACATCCAGAGATAAAGGGAGGCACCGCCGGGCAGTGGCGGCAGTCAGCTTTCTGGCAGCCTGGAAGCCAGACAGGAAGAGAGGTGGCCAGCAGCCCTGTGGCTTCCGGACCTGATGAGGGTGACGTGTCCAGGTGACGCTGGACCCCACTCTGGAAGACACAGCTGTTAAGTGGCCACTCCATGCTCTGCCACAGCCCTAGGCGACACTCTCTTCCCTTCACCCCCGGATCCTCCTTCCATATTACCCTCCAGGCCACTGGTCCCTGGCCATGAGTCAACGGCAGCTCCAGCTGACTTCCAGTCCCTGCCTAGAGACCAGCTGGGGCAGTGGTGAAAGTCTCCTCCCAGGTGGATGGGACATGCAAACCACCCTCAAAATCCTTATGAGCCGAGATCTCTCTTGGGGCCACAGTCCTACCCAACGTGAGAGCCTCCTCACAATAATGAGACTTTGGAAGAAGCCTGGGATATCCTTGGGAGGCCACGTGCACTGCAGCTCCACATTTGGGAGAGGAGCAGGTTTTGGTACCACCATCTTCTGAGCCTCAGGACCCCCCCAGTGCCACCCATGAATGGGGTGGACACAGGAAAGACCCCCTCACCTTTGACACTCTTGGAAGGCTTCTGCTGGCGATGACTGTGTGGCAGCCGTGCCTGCAAAGCCAGAGGGCAGGTGTGAGGGTGGCAAGGTGCCAGGGGCACCCCCAGGTGTCCTCCTGCCTGCTCTAGGCAGAGCTCCTTTCCCCCAAGGGTCTCTTAGGCTGTGTCCAAAGGCACAGCTTGCAAAGAACACAGGGGCCTGAGCAAAGCAGGGCGGCACTGCTGGTGTGCCCAGGCTGGGGTGTCTCGTCTGGGTCTCTCTGGCACAGGGTATCCCAGCCACACAGAGCTGTGGGCCCTGCCCCAAACACCACGTGCACAGCACTGAAGCAGCTGCAGCCTCAGACACACAGCCCAGGCATCTGCATGGGGCCCGCTAGGGCCCCCAGCCTCTCCCTATGAGGTAGGAGTGAAGAACAGGGAGGGCCCATTCTGCGGCCAGGGTGCCTGCCCTGCCTCACAAACTCAGCCTCACGGTAACAACGGTACCTACCACCTGCTAAGCAGGTCCCGCCTAGTCCTCAAAATGACTCTCAGCACAGCTGGCCACGCTCCACTCGGAGGAGCAACATGCACACAGCCACCAGCGTGGGAAATGAGTTCACCTGGACAAGTCCCCGAATCTCATCTAGTGAGACCTACCTCTCCGGTATGAAAAGTGGGGGCCCAGGGCACCTGGGTGGCTCAGCTGGTTAGGTGACTGCCTTTGGCTCAGGTCATGACAGAGGAGTCCCGGGATTGAGTCCCGCATCGGGCTCCCACCTCAGCAGGGAGTCTGCTTCTCCCTCTGACCCTACCTCCTCTTGTGCTTTCCCTCAAATAAATAAGTAAAATAAAATCTTAAAAAAAAAAAAAAGAAAGAAAAGTGGGGGCCTGGAGAAAACTGGGAAGGGTTCACTAGGATATGAACAGTCTTCCTCTTTCCCCCAACCCCAGCCTAACTCTGGCCCTTTCCTCGGTGGGGGTCATAAGCAGTTGACCTGGACATAAGGTCACAGATCTCGTCTCTCAAGAGGCATTGTGCTCTGCATACTGCTGGGGTCAACTTGGCTCACCCTGACCCTGGCTTGGCAAGACCCTAGGGAGCTTGGCAGTAGAGTTACCTCAACCTGTTGAACCCTTCCTCTTTGTACAAATGGGGGTGCTGAGGCCAGAGCCACAGTCTCAACTAACCTCTAGGAAGAGACCCTAGAGTCCTGCCTCCTCCAGGAAAGCATATGACGCCTTTCAGATGCTCTCTGGTGGCCTGTTGCCTAGAGGAGTTCCTACCACCCACCGGCCTCTTGCCCAGGGATCCCGCAGGGTCCATGCAAGGTGGAGTGAGTCTCAGGGGGTGGGAGTGCACGGAGTACCCAGAGCAGTGCTCACCGCATAAAAATCTCAGCAATCCGGAACCCGATCCCAGAGCCACCACCTGGGATGAAGGCCACTTTGTCCCTAAAAAAACAGGAGGCACTTTAAAGAGATAGGTCCCTAGTTTCTAACAAACAGACCAAAATACACACAGGGTCCAGTGTATTGCTCTGTTCTGTTCACCTGTCTGATGATATTCTCTCTCTCATTCTCCTTTTTTTTTTTTTTTTTTTTTCTGTTTTGGGTCTCTTCTGATTTATTTAGTGCATAGTTCTCTGGGGTCGTTGTTGCCATTTTAGTATTTTGTTCTCTCTTTCATCTATTCTTCTCTGGACAGAAAGACAAGATGGAAAAACTCACCTCAAAAAAAAGAACAAGAGGCAGTGCTCACTGCCAGGGATCTAATCAATATGGACATAAGTAAGATGTCAGAACGAGAGTTCAGAATGACAATTATAAAGATACTACCTAGGCTTAAAAAAAGCATAGAAGACACTAGAGAATCCCTTCCTGGAGAAATAAAAGAGCTAAAATCCAAACAAGTCAAAATCAAAAAAGGCTATTAACGAGATGCAACCAAAAATGGAGGCTCTAACTGCTAGAATACATGAGGCAAAAGGGAGAATTAGTGACAAGACAAAATGATGGGGAATAAAGAAACTGAGAAAGAGATAAACAACTACTGGATCATAAGGGTTGAATTTGAGAGATAAGGTATACCATAAAGTGAAACAATCTTAGAATAATTGGGATCCCAGAAGAAGAAAGAGAGAGAGAGGCAGAAGGTATATGGGAGCAAATAATAGCTGAGAACTTCCATAATCTGGGGAAGGATCCAAGTCCAGAAGGCACAGAGAACCCTCCTCAAAATCAATAAAAAAACAGGTCAACACCCCGACATATAATAGTGAAGCTTGCAAATCTCAGAGACAAAGAGAAAATCCTGGAAGCAGCTTGGGACAAGAGGTCCATAACCTATAAGGGTAGAAACATTAGATTGGAAGCAGACCTATCCACAGAGACCTGGCAGGCCAGAAAGGACTGGCATGATATATTCAGGGCGCTAAATGAGAAAAATACGTAGCCAAGAACACTTAATCCAGCAAGGATGTCATTCAAAATAGAAGGAGCGATAAAAGCTTCCAAGACAAACAGAAACTAAAAGAATTTGTGATCACTAAACCAGCCCTGCAAGAAATATTAAAGGGGATCTTTTAAGCGAAGAGAAAGCCCAAAAGTAACAGAGACCAGAAAGGAACAGAGACAACCTACAGGAACAGTGACTTTACAGGTAACACAATAGCACTAAATTAATATCTTTCAACAGTTACGCTGAATGTAAATGGGCTAAATGCCCCAACCAAAACACATGGGGGACCAGACTGGATAAAAAAACAAGACCCATGGATATGCTGCTTACAAGAGACTCAGTTTAAACCCAAGGCACCCCCAGATTGAAAGTGAGGGGGTGCAAAACTATTTATCATGCTAATGGACATAAAAGAAAACTGGGGTTGGGATGCCTGGGTGCCTCAGATGGTTAAGTGTCTGCCTTCGGCTCAGGTCATGATCCTGGGATCGAGCCTCACATCTGGCTCCTTGCTTGGTGGGGAGACTGCTTCTCCCTCTGTCTGCTGCTCACTCTCGAGAGAGCACGCACTCTCTCTCGCTCTCTCTCTCTGACAAATAAATAAAGAAAATCTTAAAAAAAAAAAGAAAGAAAGAAAGCTGGAGTAGCCGTCCTTATATCAGACAAATTAGATTTTAAGTCAAAGACTTTAAGGAGGTGAGGAAGGACACTATATCATAATTAAAAGGTCTATCCAACAAGAAACAATTGTAAATATTTATGCCCCTAACATGGAAACAGCCAATTATATAAGGCAATTAATAACAAAATTAGAGAAACACATTGGTACTAATACAATAATAGTAGGGGACTTTAACACTCCACTCACTGTAATGGCCAGATCATCTAAGCAAAAGAACAACAAGGAAATAAGGGCTTTGAATCGACTCCTCCTGAGTAAATATGGAACAGCCTACAGAATAGGTCACATACTGGGTCACAAATCAGGTCTCAACCGGTACCAAAAGACTAGGATCATTCCCTGCATATTTTCAGACCACAGTGCTTTGAAACTTGAACTCAATTACAAGAGGAAATATGGAAAGAACTCAAATAAATGGAGGTTAAAGAGCATCCTACTAAAGAATGAATGGGTCAACGAGGAAATTAAAGAAGAATTTGAAAAAATCATAGAAACAAGTGAAAATAAAAACACAACTGTTCAAAACCTTTGGAATGCAGAAAAGGCGTTCCTAAGAGGGAAGTATATAGCAATACAAGCATTTCTCAAGAGGGGCACCTGGGTGGCTCAGTGGGTTAAGCATCTGCCTTCAGCTCAGGTCATGATCCCAGGGTCCTGAGATCGAGCACTGTGTTGGGCTCCCTGCTCATTGGGGAGCCTGCTTCTCCCTCTCCCTCTGCCTGCCACTCCCCCTGATTGTGCTCTCTCACTCTATCTGTCAAATAAATAAATAAATAAATAAATAAATAAATAAATAAATAAATAAA